TTTTTTTTTTTTTAAATTAGGATAGCAGGTTGGGATTTGGGCGGGTCGTAAATCGTAATAACTAATAGGAAATTAGAAATTGATAAAAATACCAACAAAATGACAAAATTATTGAATTTACAAAATTGTGATTTTGGATAAATTTTCAAAAAAATTCAATTTTTAATTTTTAATTTTATATATTCTTTCGCTGGCCCAGTTTGATTTTAAATCGTAATTAAAATTTTAAAACCTAAACCAAACCGTTTTTGACTGGTTTGGTTTGGTTCAAAACCATTTCGTTGACAGATCCACGTGGCACCAAATCACCGATTTCAAAATTGCGATTTCAGTTTGATTTTCCGATTTGAGGGTTTTTGCTTACAGCCTTAGTACAAATGAAAACCAATGCAAACCATATTATCGATGGACAAAATGGTAAATTGGTTTTGTTTGAAACAAACCACAGTTACAACGCCTTTTCAGTGGGCTCCGTTGATATGACCCAAAACCAACTATGGATTGAACAATTCAATTTGAATAGTTTTCAACCTAACAAATGAACCAATCCAATCTAATAAATCTTGGGTTGGTTCAATTTGAATTGTTAAGTTTGCCCATGGAAAAATTCACAACTCGATTTTATCTATCCCAAAACTAAAAATCAGACCCCAAAATTTAAAATTGCAAAAATCAGATTTTTCATGAATTAATTAATTATATTTNTTTCATGAATTAATTAATTATATTTTATAATTATTATATTAAATTAAATATTTAACTGTAATATAATATAATTAACCCACCCCCACCTTATCCCACCTCTGATCCTGTGACCACTCCGACCACTGTTCTCCGATCACAGGTCACAAATCAAAAATTTTGTAGATCACAGATTTTTTCGAGGTCACAGATCTACAATTTTATAGGTAACTGTTTTTTCATCTGTAACAGATCAAAAAAATTTTAGACCACTAATTATTTCGAGGTCACAAATCTAAAATTTTATAAATCACAGATTATTTTATTGGTCACAAATCAAAAAAATTATATGTCACATGTCACGTATTTTCAAATTTGTTGGTTTATCAATTTTAAAGTCACGGATCAATAATTAGGTCACAGACACCACAAAAAGCCACCACTATCGTTGACTCCATCACAACAATAACAAAAAACGACCACCACCATACGGATCACCATCACCACCGCACGAAACATACCACCATAGATCTACCACCTCCACAACCACACATCCCCAGATCTACGACATTTTCCAAAATCAGACCCCATCAACACTTGGTCACAACAACCACCAACACTTGGTCATAAAATCTAATAATCCAAAATAATAACCCATACTAGATTTTTAGTCAAAATAATTGATCTACCTCAGATTTGCAGAATAAAAAGACACAGAAGAACACGAAAAATTAAATTGATAAAAAAAATCAAGTAGAATATTAGTTTTGGCTCAGTTCATTCCGCAGGCCAAAGATCTAATGGACTCCTCTCCTCTCAATCGTCTGTCGGATGAAACCATCTACCAAATCTTTTTGCAACTGCCCCTCTGTCAAATCGCCGCCTGCAAGTGTGTCTGCAAAGCCCTCTCCTCCGCCCTCTTCTCACCGTCATTTCATATATTCACCATTAATTACACATTTAATTGCGCAAATTATCATTTCTTCAATTTTTATCCAATTTTTCAATAAATAGCTTTAAAATGATGAATATACCCTTTGTTTAAATAAATAACAATTTTTTTTAAAAAAAGAAGCGCAAACAAAAACCAAATAAATTATTATAAAATTAGAAATTATTTTTTTTCTTTAAAAAAAGTACAAACATGCCCCAAAAAAATTTATTAGAAAATTCAAAATTTTTTCAAAAAAATTAAAAAGTTCCCAAATAAATTATTAAAAAAATTTTAAAAAATTAATTTTTTTTAAAACCAAACTACTCAAATTGGTTCGAAGAACAAAGTAGAACACACAGAGACCACTTGGCATGGCCACGTGAAAACAGACCAAACACCAAAAACTACTGAATTAACTCCAAACAAACCAAGATAATGATACATCTCCCTCTCAAACACCGAAACGAGAATTTATGGCTATAAGACGATAACACCGCCGCCACCATACAATAATTCAAATCAAATCCGCACACACTATTTACATTATGATAGGCACTCAGTCCTATCTTCAAATGGCAACATCTTAAGACAAAAAACTTAAGGCCTTGTAGGCGGTGCCCCCTTCACAACCGTCACTGGACACGGCGCATTATGGACCACGTAGTTGCTCACACTTCCAAGCAACACCCTGCATTTATTTCAAATTTCTTTCTTCATTTTAGCTTTAAAAAACAACGAAATTACTGCAAGAATATGTCATTGTAAAACATGTAAATAACAATTTTCATTAATTAGATGTTGCTTAAAAATAATTAATGAATGATTAATATAATTACCTCTTAAGCACTCCTAAGCCTCTACTTCCAACAACAAGTGAATCAAGCTTGAGTTGCTCCACTGCATCGATCAACTTCTCCCTCGGATCTCCCCAATACACCTTGGCCACCACCTTAACCTGTATACATATCTCACCCCAGATCAAGAAGAAAACATATATACATATTCAAAAAAATACAGTGGACGATCGTATATGTACACGTAACAGGACTATCTAGTTAAATCATGACACTTTATATGTCGAGTGGATAGAAGAGACACATGTGAGGCGTCGTGATTTGGATGGACGATCCTACACTTGTGGCCAGGACCCTCCATTGAAATATTTCTTGTGTGTGTAGGGGAGGGAGGGAGAGAGGGATTTCTTGTGTGTGTGTGTGTG